GTGGGGCAGCAACAGGGGGAAATGCAGCTGAGATGTGGTCCAGTACGTTCTGCTCCAAGTGCAGTCCCTGGGCCAACAGCCTTAGCATCGTGAGGGACTCGGGGACTTTGACAGACATTTAGAACCTTAGCACTCCTGCCTCTAAGACCTAGTGAAGCAGAATCAATATTTTATCCTGGCAATTTGTTTGCACATTGAAGCTTGGGAAACAGGACGCTGCCCATACAGAAGCTGCCCGTACAGTTTTCAACAAGAATATCCCTCCAATTTGCTGTTTTTAATGTACTCACTCAGCCTGGCAAGGGAAGCCCTCCCTGCCCTCTGAAATGATGAAAATTCAGTCACTAGGCAATGCCTATGGTAGGCTTCCCTGGCCCAGGGAGTGGGCTGGAGACTAGTAGGCTTCATTTCAAGGTGAAGCCACTGACACTTCTTTCCCCCATTCACACAGTGAATACGTGACAGCTGAAGTATCCCCAAGGGTGCCCTGTCCATACTCATTAGAAAGAGAGATTAATTGTTTTTTCATTTGGATATGGAGAGAGCTGCATTAACCCAAATTAACCTGAGCTAGTTAAAGGAACCAACCTAGAATCCCCTGGTCCCGATAACCAGTGAGAAGGCATCTGGGAATGACATAGATCAATAGATGCTGCTTTGTCCAAATTATAAAGCCCAAATGAGTCACCTCCACCTACCTGTACAGGAGACAGGGTGAGGGATGGCAGTAAGCCAAGCCCAAGAGAGAGGGAAAGCCCAAGACAGCAGGGAGGCCAGCTCCTGGCCCTTTGCTGAAGGCAGGGCTCATGAATTCATCTCAAGATCAGGCTTTTATTTCCTTGGGGAGTCCCCCATCTCTTAATCACAAAAGCAATAAGAATTTCCAATATGTTCCTCTGCCGTGCCTAATCAATTGTTCCAGCTGCCAGTCATCAGCCCCGTCTGGAGGTTCACCTGAAAGCCCTCTTCCAGCCTCGAAAGCAGTAGTGACCCCCAAGGTGACACCAGACAAAGAAGGCCGCCCCTGTGGGCAGCCTCTGTGTGCCGGTTGATTTGATCACCACAGTTTTGTTAATATTGCCTAGGATTTTGGAAGAGTCAGTTCTGTTCCTTATGCTTTGATTGATAGGCCTCGTAGGGCCCCATTGGTTGAGTTTGGAAAATCATTTTGAGTATATATGGAAGGAAATTTTTCCTTTTGTGAATGACCTTACAGTTGCCCGTTAACATGGTGGCAGGTATGTGTGAAGTTGGCAGGTATTCAGGCTTCAGACATTACGAGAGACTAGTACCTGCCTGGTACAGAGTCGGGGCTGAGAAATTGTGTTGGAGTGAATGAATAAATAAGAGAATATTCTTAAACTTTATTAAGTAAGTTGGAACTCTGGATGTAGGACAGCAGTATAGTTGGAAATTCCTAGAAGTAAGTGTTAGTAGGAAAGGCACGTCCTGTGCCATGGTGGACAATTTCTGGGAACTGTGGATCTTTGGTAGAGGCCAAGGGCAATCGTACTGAAACTACAGCTCTCTGGCTCCAGAGTTTTGACCATTTTATTGGAACAATGTATGAGATATGGGTCGTACATTGGAAAACATGGTTGTGTCTTCTTGTTACTTCCTGTAAATCTCTGGTCGTTGTATTGGTCACACGCAGCATCTGTAACCAGTAGTCTTGCTCTGGACCCTGCACACAAAGTGTTCTGTGTGGACATGGAATTACAAGCTTCGACTGGGTTATCTCACCAGAAGAAAGTTTATCCTGTGCTTCTCATCCCATCTGTTAGGCAGGTCATGGGCCTCATTTTGCCAAGAGATAATTTTCTTATGCTCTAGCTAAGAAAGTGTCCAGTATACTTGCCAAATTCAGACTTTCAATTGGACCCTAAAACCTTCCCTGTCTTATTCTCATGGAGCCCTCATGCAAAAGGCCGCTGCCTGTTACAGTGCCCCTCGCTGGCTGTAGCAGTGGATGGAAGAGCTGTAGACTGTGTTTGGCTGTTGGTCTGCTGACACTCAGCACAGCATGTTTCTAAGCCTTCAGAGCTATATGCCCCACCTCACATCCTCTCTCCCACTTGTTCTGCCTAGTCCATTGCCACACCAGCTTCACCTCCCCTCAAGTGCACCAGGTTCCTCTGGCTTTCTGCCATCAAGCTTCTCTGATGCCCTGGCATTGAGCGTCTCTGAGAACCTTGAGCTGATACATGTGCCTACTTGGAAGAGGTGTGCCCTGGGGCAACCCTTGACTAGTGGGGAATAGAAGCTGGTGGGTAGATGTTTCTGTCTTGAACTACTCGTTGAACCCCAAGGTAGACTGCACGGGCTAGCATTTAGATGTTATTCGTTCTTGTTTGCTCAGCAAACCAACATGAAGGATGCTGTTGGAGATACTAGGCACCAAGGTTATCTCATTCCCGAGTCTATCCCTAGACCTAGCTCAATGTCTGCCACACAGCAGGTACTTCATAACTATTTGTGAAATAATTGGCTGTTGAGAAGAATGCAAGTAACTCTGCCTACAGAGAAAAAGTATTAAAATAAATAGGCAAAGGTAGAAGATATTACAGGGAAAAATACAGTTGCATAGATTGTCGTGATCTATTTGAGGTGTAGTCAGTTATCTGGTTTGGCCAGAGCTTAGGGAACCTTGTGGGGCCACAAATAAGATAGTTACTATACACTGGCAGGTCTTGTATTTGGGTAGAATTGATGTATAGAGGTCTGTTTCCCTCACTAAACAGCAACCACCTCAAGGACAAGGACCCACATATAGTAGAGTGGCTAGCACGTAGTAGGCACTTAATAAATTTTGAGTGAAAAAATAATGGTTGGAGGATGGATGTATGGATGGTGGACCAATGGATGATGGACGATTGGTCCTGGCTATTAAATGTGATGAAGGAAAAACCCTTAACTAGGCCTAGCTTTCAGTGTGCAGCAAGCTGCAAAAAAATTACAAAATTTCCCAAACTATTTCATTGCAGTTCATGCAAAAATGTAGCAAATATAGCTAATGTAGACCTCTAGGAAGCACGCCATTTTCTATTGAACCATTGAGTAGAGCATAGAGTGTGCACACCAAGTTTCCCTGTTACCCGTGGGGTTGTAAACATCAGGGGCAGTGCTCCCCTTGTGATAAACACACACAAACATACAGAAATACCTCCAGGGGATAATAAGTGATAGGTGCATTCAGCTACTACAACAAAACAAACAGGGGAGCTCACATTTCTACTCTAAGGCAGAAAAAAAAATTAGCTGTGTTTCCACAATGTCTCTGTGACCTCTTATTATTCCATTAGTTTTTGGAATAGTGTGTAAAACACCAAGCACCATGCTGACAAACACCAGTGCTAAAATTCTTGCCACAGTGACTCCAAACAGCCTTTTCCCTTGGGTAAAATTATTATTTGGAAGACAAGGAAAATTGTGGTTGCCTGAGCGAGCTGAGCATAAAGGAGGGTAGTGATTCATAAGGTGACTCTAGCAAGTTTGCAAACGTGCAACTTTTCTGGAGGCTGATGCACAACAGATGCTCTGCGTTGCCTTTTTGAGCTGGTAAGCACTTTCCAGTCTCACCGCCACTTCAGGACATGGAGGGCTGTGGAGGATGCAGGCTCCTGAGGACAAGAGTTAACCTGACACAATGCTCACTTACCAGAAATAAACCCTTCACTTCAGATCATACCCCTGTCAGTAGCTTTTTGAGCGGGAAGATGGTAATTCTGCCTCTTCACATGTTCCTTTAAGTACTTGAACTCTCATTCCATTGGATTAAGCTTTTGGGGGCTGGGTCATCTGGGGTATTAATTCTATCCAGGAGAGGTTGCAGAAAAGTGGTACTGGTCTAAAAATACAACTCCCTGAACTTTTAAACCCTCAAATCTCTTTATGTGGCTTCTTTTTCTTAATCCTTAGCCTGATTTCTTTTATATATATATTTTAGATCCATTTATTCTTTGGTATCAGTAGAGTAAGTTCAAAAAGAGCAGGCATGGGCACAAAGCTCAGCATAGCTTTGTATAGAGGAGGAAGTTAACGAGAGTCAGCATAATGATGCTGGTATGATTGCACTGTAATGAGATGTCTAGTGAGTAGGTTCCAGAAACTGAGAGAGCCCCTCTGATAGTGATAGACTCTGAAAGTGACAAGCTCCGGTGTCTTCTGTGACATTGTACCAATTAGCCAATCTAAATGGGCACATATTTAAGTTTGAGGTCACGTACAGTTCTCAAAGGCTAGGCTGCCCCTATGAATGAGGCTGTAACTCACTGTCTGTGTCATAATAGGCAACAGCGAGGGACTATCCCAGCGGTGCGTTTCAGACCCCCCTTTTCATATTTTGTGGTGTTAGGAGAGGACTCATTTTTGATGAAGACCAAGTACGTGCATCCATCACGCCATTGGGGAAATGGCTGGGGTCTGTTAGGCCCTGAAGTTAAAAGAGTGTAGGATCCTGTGTTGGTGCTAGAATCAGGGGAAGCTCCGTTCTCATTACATTGATTTAGCAGTGACAGAGAGAGACCCAAGCCTGCCCCAAGCGGCTCGCAGCGGCGATGAGAAGAGGAAGAAGGCCTGTGCTGTGCCCTTCTAGGTCAGCAGAGCGAATATTCTGTTACCTGACTCCCATCCCCTGTGACTGAAAAGTGCTAATACTGAGACCTTCGCCCACATGCAAACATTTCAAGATTGACTAATTATACAGTGTCCAGACAGGGAACTGGCAGGGCAAGGCAGTGCTTATGAGGAGCCATGAACATCAGCCTGCAGCAAGCTGAATACAAGCTCCTCAGGCAGCCATGAAGGCGCATTCACTGGGGATCCCATTCCACTATGAAATCAAAAGCTGCGTACATCCAGGGAGGGGAGAACTGTTCCCTTAAAACCTCTAAGAGAAAACACACAAGGCCCTAAAATATGCTTGTTGTCAGCCTTTGGTATTTAAAAAATGTGGGCTTCACTTGGGGCGCAGTCTGATGCTTGTTCTCCTTTGATTTCAGCTTCCATTTTCTCCAGCAATCATTCTAGCCGAAGTGGAACAGCTGCTGGGGCCGTGCCACCCCCACATCCTGTCAGTCACCCTTCTCCGGGACATAATGTACAGGGGAGCCCCCACAACCCCTCCTCCCAGTTACCTCCACTCACAGCTGTGGATGCGGGAGCTGAGAGGTAAGGCCATCTGTCTCTGTCTTCTAATAGGTGTCACCGCCAAACCTCCCTCCACACGGAGAAGTGCTTTGACAGTTGCTGAATTTTATTAATAATCCATTGGTGGGTTGAGTTACCCAAAGGTGACATTTCAAAAGTACATACACAAATCACGTGGCTCAGATCTCTCATTATCTGTTTTATTTTCCATAGGAAAAAAAAAATGAAACTATATTGGCAATAGCCAACTAAAGTGTTTCATGCTGGGAAAACGCATCCGAATGTCTCTGTCTTTCCCACCTTACCTTAGTTTGTTTCAGGGACTCAGTTTTAATATAATGTCCCTACAGGTTGAAATGCTGTTCAGATGTAAGATGGTACCATTCAGCACACAGATCAGTAGTGTTAGCTTGAGAATATATCATAGGAGGGCACAGGGTTTTATATGGGCAACCTGAGAGGGGCTGTTCACTGACTACTTTATGTTGATACCACCCTCATAAGTAGTTTCTGGGAGGAAGTTTTTAAATCTTGACACTTTGGTCCCTGTCTGGACTGTCCAACGCTCCGGTGATGTGAAAAGCGTGCCATTCTTCATATTCTCCTCACTTACTTGTCATCTGGCTTCAGTTGACCTACCTAGGGGTTACTCTAAGATATCCATGGGGACAAAAAGCTCTTTGTGTGGGCTCCTGTGCAATCCTGGAATGTTGAGCCATTTGGTGGGCAAAGGCAGCAGGAATAAAAGTTTTGAGTCTTGGATTTCACCAGCAATCTGTGGTTTCATCATTGTTGGTGTGGTCTATGAGCTTTTTAAAACGTGTTTTTTTAAATCCAATAAACCATATATTTTTAAATTTATTACTACCCTTTTATTTAGTAAGACTTCTGTTAATTTAGTAGGAATCTGCTATGTGTTGGATGTTATGCTGGTCGCTGGGGTTGCAGAGACTATTAAAACATGGTCGTGCCCTTACAGGACTAGTGATGAGAACAGATATATAAGTAAAGTATAGTAATGCTCTTTACTTAAGTGATGAATAGAGATGCCACAGGAGCTCAAAGAGGATGTCCCCAACTCTGCCTCAGGGAGGGAGGGAAAGAAAGACTGAATAATCTAGGCATTGAAGGAAGAGTAAGGCTTTTCCAGACGGATAAATGGGGGAAAGCATCCAAGGCAGCAAGAGGAACATAGGCAAGAGATGAAGAAAGACAAGTACATACATGGAGGAAGTTCCCAGTATCTCAGGGGGCATCACCCAAAGTGTACGTGGCTGATGGCATTAGGTAAGAACCATTATAGGCTCTTTATTAGGAGAGAAATACATCAGACTATTATTCTAGAGAAAGGACTCAGGCGAAAGATGGTAGAGTAATTGAGGCTGGAAGCAGGGGCAGGAGGTAGGGAAAAGAAGGAGGTTGTTCCAGCAGCCTTCGTGAGCAGTATGAGGACTTGAACTGAGGCAAAGCTACGAGGATGGAGAGTGTATTCAAGAGGAAGAATTGCTCATTTTTAATATGTATGTGTGGAGTAAAGAGGAGAGGCCAAAATTCACCCCTGAGTTTCACCCTTAGACATCAAGATGGAAAATTGTGCCATTAACAAAAATTGAACCTATAGTAAGAGTGGTAGAATGGAGGAAATGAGGGTGTTGAGTAGAGGGGAGGAGTGGGAAAGAGGAACAGTAATAAAATGGACTTTATTGTTTGAGTTCTAGTTGGTTGTAAGAGATCTATGTGGATGTGTCTGATGGGCAATTAGAAATAGAAACCAGAAGATGTTTGATTTATTTTTACAGTCCTCTCTACATGTTAAAGTGTGTACGAATTATAAGCCTCCTCCCACAGGATCCAGCAACAAAGCAGTATGAATTATAACCATCTATTAAGTTCACAGACACTGGAGACAGGCAATCTTTCTCGTTACTGGATGTATTCCTGTAAGTTGAGATGTGTTTATTCATTTTAGCAGTTTATTTAATTTCCATTTGAGTTTTAAACGACATTAGCCATGGGCTTTCCATTCATCTCATTGCATTCTGCCTAGCTGAGAATCATACTCCACAAGGTAGTGTTGACCTTAAACAAATAGAGAGCCAGATAAATCTCCAGCAAAATAGGTTTATTCCAGAACAAGAAAGAATTGCAGTTAAGGACATGTAGTGTAATGGCGATCCACATGCAAGTCCAGAGAAACAATGGAAAGAACATTCTTTTGTGGACTTGGGAGTAGCTGTTGTAAAGGAAGAGTGCATTGGAGGAAACTGAAAAATTGAAATATAGTGACTTTTAGTTGGCTGAGTTATGGCAGCCTCCCATTGGCTGAGCTGTTACTAGACAAGGAGGAATCTTTTTTTTCCTCCTGCTGAAGTAGTCAAGTAGTATCACTTCCTGTCAGAGATGCAAGGTATGCCTCTTCCTGTTGGGGTCAGTAATATGCATTGAGTGACATGTGCTTGAGAGTTCTGTCTTCTAGCCTACTGACTCCATTTTTAAATGAGATTTCCGTTAATTTTCACAGTAGTGAAGCTAAGAAATATCAATTGGGACTTCGTCTTTTTCATCCCCTCTTCCTATTAGTAGTTGTAATGACTCTTTGCAAGAATATAAGAGAAAAACAGTCTATGTATCTTCTTTTTGTACTCAGCCATTAAAATAATAAATGTAAAAAAGAATTTTAGCCATTACTAGAGTAAAAAACAATACCCACGCACCTGATATCTTAATCCCAGCTCCTACAGTTACTAATTGTTTGAATATGTTCCTTAGATGTTCCTGATGCTTGGGTTGGTTTTGGGGTTTTTTTAACATTTTTTTTCTATAATTTTTCATTTTTTTCAAAACTTTTACAAACATATAAAAAACTTCAAGAATAGTACAGTGAACACCCATACACCCTACACCCATATTCATCCATTGTTATATTTTGCCACATTGTCTCTATCTCTTTTTGTCTTTCCTTCTGTGACTTGGGATCCTTTGGTTGGTTGGTTGGTTACCTGTTGTTTCTCAACCATCTGAGAGATTGTTGTAAATATCATTGAGCTTTAACCCTAATAACTTCAGTAGAGATCCCCTAAAAAAGACATTCTCCTACATAATCACAATATAATTATCACACTCAGGAAATTTAATATTGATTGTAGTATTATTACCTAATACACAATCAATATTCAGATTTCCCCAGTTGTGAGAACAGTGTTTTTTACAGATAAAATTTTTTTTCTTTCTTCTTATGATCCAGGATCTAACAAGGATCACAATTCTCATTTCTTTTTGGCCTTGAATCTAATCAAGTTTCACAGATTTAAAAAAAATATCATCATCATTATTATTATTGTCTTTCTGACACTGACAGTTTTTTAAGAACTCGGGACATTTCTTTTGCAGAATGTTTTACTGTTTGGATGTGTCTGATTGTTTTCTACTAAACACATTCTTTGTAAACATTTTTGGCAGGAATACCACATCAACTATGTGGTATTCCTTAGCTCTTTGTAATCTTAGTTTGCACCTTACAGGGAATTAGGAGTAAATGAACCAAAGCAGGTAAAGCATGTAGCATATTACATGGCATGAAGCAGACACTCAGTAGCTATTGCTGCTAACATAAAAACAGGCAACCTTGGCTTGGCTGAGAGATTCAGGTTTAGAAGCCAGAGGATGTTGAGAAATTATTACAGTGGTTGATAATGTAAATAATCATGGAAGGGAAAATGCAGAGGAAGGGGAAGGCGGTGGTACTTTACATGGCTGGGTGAATGAAGTGGACATTTCACTTTTGTGGCTGCCTTGCTGCTCTGCTCTTCCCACAGGATGTATGCCCCATCCCTGTGCCAGCCCAAGTGGAATGGGCAAGTGTGTGGAAGGTTATCTCTTCCGATCAGGTTTGGAGAGAAGGATGACATGAAACAGTCCTGAATTATTCACTGTGTTTGCATTAGTGTCCAGCATAAAAACACTAAGAGGAAATGTGCTTACCTTCCGCTTTTGGTTTATATATCTTTGCCTCTGTTTGCCTGGGAAATCCCCCAGTAAAAACTCTAGCAGTTTTCTTAACGGAAATAGGTTTATCACACTTTGAGATTTTTTTACTGGGAAACTGGCATTTTTTCCTGCTTTGTGGGCATTGATTCATAATTTACTTAGCTTTAACTTGTTAATAAAATGAGCTGAGTCACTGTCAGAAGTCAGGAAAGGTCCACCACATCTATTCAGTTAGCATCAGGCTCTTTGATTCTTAAGCCATCGTAAAATAAAATAAAAGCAAGTTCTATCAATTTGATGAGGTTCCATTTTTATTTTGAAATGTTGTCTGAATGACACATCATTTCAGTGAATTAAGCAGCATCACACCACATCACCTAATGTTGGTTTAAACTTATTATGGGAAGTGGTGTTTTACTACGTCCCATTGAACCAGCAGTGGCACTTTATTATGGTGGCTTCCCTTAAGAGGAAGCCAGTGTCTTTAAAAAAAAATTTTTTTTTAAGATTTTTATTGGGGAATTGGAACAGCGCTGGGGAATTGGGGGAAGGGGAACAGCGCTGGGGAATTGGGGGAAGGGGAACAGACAAGTTGCTGTCGTTTTGTTCTTCAGTCTAGTTGTGGAGGACGTTGCTTCACTGGCCCAAGTTGGCACCATCATTGCACTCTTCCCGGGCAAGGCAGATCAGTCACCGGCTTCTGGACGGCCGCTCACTGCGGCTGCTGGCCGCTCACGCTGGCTGCTGGCTACATACGGAAGCCCATGGCAACCCACTGCCACAGGGGCTGCAGCCTACAAGGTCGCCAGCAACTCAAGGCAGCCCAGCTCCAGGTTGAGCTGTTGTTCAGCATCTCAGCTGTAGAGGGCAGTGTCACTGGCCCTCATATGTGGGATCCGAACCGGGGCCTTCTGGCGTCCCAAGCTAGTTCTTAACCAATGTGCCACTCGGCGGGCCCAAGAAATGTTAATTCATTGAGTTTGATAGTGTCTCTTTTAGACCAGAAAAAAATAAAAATATTCATGGGAGTCCCT